AGTGAATTTCGTTTGGGCAAAGGATCGAATATTTGAAGTTTTCAGTTTCAGCTCCTTCATCCGAGCCTGGAACTTCTCATCATCGTTCTTCAGCGACTTCCATTCCGCATTCGCTTGCTGTTGCTGCTTAGAGCCGTTTAGATAGGGATAAGCATGCTTATATAATCCCATAAATTCAGAGTACTTTTTTGCGCCGTCTGGAGCCATTAACACAAATAGGTAAAGCTACACAATAAAAAAAACTGCAGAAATTTCACAGAAAGCGCGAAAATGATGATTGTCATAACCACAAGGAGTTTCAAAAATCTCCAGAATTTAGGTGTAATTTATGCGGGTGTGCGTGGGCTTTTTGCTGCAGTACGTAACGCGCTCATGACCCCCTCCTCCCCCCGTGTCACGGTCTGTCACAAATCTCTGACCCGTCCCCCCCTGGTACCTTGCGTACGTAATTTATGGATCCCCCCTAATGGTGCTTTTCAGTGGTTTCCCGAAAGACACAGAAACACTAAGGTTTCCTGTTTGATTAGCGTCAGTGGTCCGCGTCCGGTATGTCCTGGAGTCAGGTCAAAACCGAAAATGGTATATCCGTCGTTATATTGGGTCCGGTTGAACGGTAGGCCGCCTTGCAAGCTGGGACGATGTCCCAAAGTGTCCAACAACCCGTCGTAGCACTCCAGAGACAACTTGCGGTCGAAATCGGCAGTGTACGGTTTGGTTGGATAACTCTGGCCGTCCACTTCGACGCTGATTTGTGTAATATTGAAGTGCTGAAAATTGAAAGGATTTTTCTTTTGCGATCCGTGAAAGTCTTCGCTGTCCACAAAGCCAATGAAGACCACCTTAGGGATTTGTCCAATCTGCAAATTGCTGACCACGGTGCTTTGGGTTCGTTGGGGAATGTCCGACACACGCATCACCACTCGTTCGATATGGTACTTGACTGTTTTTTTCAGGAGTTCTCCGGCCACGGCGGTCAGAAAGTCCGGAGACGGAATGTATCGGCGAACCGACAGACGCGCGTTATGTATAAACGGTTTAAATGTCTTGGTGGTATCCGTGTCCCATACACGTAAGGCAAACTCCGGTCGACTAACTACTAGGCGAATGTTGACGGGTACACCGGTGCACAGCGGCTTGCTTTGGTCAAATAGGTCCGAGAATAGTTTGCCAGATAGCTGTACGTACTGTCCAGTATTAAATATCGCCGTTCGATTTTTTTCACCATTGTTTGCAATTTCACTGTTGAAGGAACCCGGAGAGTCGTAATAGAAACCGGCGGATGTCAGTTGGCTTTGTTGGGCATCAAGGGAGTGTGACAGCAAAGATTCCAGGTAAGCGCGGTACGGATAAAACGTGGCAGCATCCGAGATCAACCGGTTGGCCACCGTCACATGGCATGAAGAGAACAATGAGTGCAGAATGTTGTTGACCGGTGCCACACCATCAGCCGTTGTAATCAGTTCCCATTCACCTGTGGATTTACGGACTTTAATGCCCACTTCTAATTCCAGGATCATATCTGCCAAACTAAGTAGTCCGGACGTGCTGGGCGGAATGAAAAAGTTGATATCGCCGGCGGATCCGTTGTCTGTCAAGACGGTAGTGGGGTTAAGTTTTTCGTGTTCCGTGCGCCATCGATCCGTTAAAGTGGCCGGTAATGCAAAGAGCTGGTTCTCCAATTGCATGGCCGGTTCAGAATTTTCCATCATCAGCATGGCCATTTTAGAAGAAATCGGGGATGTTGGTGGGGGAATACGTTTCACTCGAACAACTTTGCGTTGAACTCGTCGCTTTTTTCGAACACCGTCTCCTTCCTGGGAAGCAAAACGCTTTTCTATGGCTGTTCCGGCACGTGCGGCTACCTCTTTAATAGCCCCGGTAGCAGCTTCTTGCAGGTGAGGTGTAGCCGCCTCCAGAGCAGCTTTGGCATGGGGTGCGGCTTTCCGTAATATTGGTTGAACAAATCCTGATAGCTTAGCAAACAGATTTTTCAAAATCTGAGGGAAGCCAGACCCATTTTGTAGAGTCCCTCGGTACCGAATCAGTGCGCTACCACCGGTCTGACTCAAAAAGACGTTCTCGTATCGCCGGGGATCCGGCACGTACTCCACCAGAGGCATCTTAGTATAGTCGTTGTGGTCGGAAATGCAGTTTCACAAGGGACTTTCCCGTTTGGAACTTGGCGTCGTCTCCCAGATCGTTGGCAATGGTCAGCTTTATGGTTTCGAAATGTTGTCGTAATACAGGGACGTAGTGGGGAATGTCGAATCTGGCCTCCACAATTTGATTGACTTCTCCTCTAATAGGCACGGAACGTAAAAACTGCGCTGCGGTATCGCCAATCAAGCTGTAGTCGGCCACATCACTGTAGACAAACAGGCTTTGATTTCCCAGTAGGGTATTGACCGGTCGCTCCGAAATGAAGCTGGTCAGCTTTGGATTCGGGGGCTTGGCCAGAAATGACAGGTATTGGATACTGACGTTTTTCGTTTCAAAGGGAAACGGACCGGTCATTCGATTGCTGTTACTTTCCATTGGTACATCCGGTTTTAGTACATTATGTTCAAATCCCAGCATTTTCTGTAGGACTATCGACGAGGGAGGAAAGACAATAGAAACCCGATCGTTACCAATATACAGTCGGACCCGATGATTGGTGGCGGTCAACAATTGAACGGTGAAGGCTCTGTCGGCAGTCAAGGCGCTCTTATCAACGTGCACCGTTTCGTCCACCATGTACGATCCAACTTTGGGTACCAATGAATTGATGGTTTTTAATAGCAAATCGGCATCCTTGTAATTTCCAGGAGGGATGGTAATCTCGTCGGTATGCACAACTTGGTCCGCAGATTCCAAAAAGTTTGCTTCATCTTTTTTCAGTCTGAATTCTTTAACGATGTGCACTTCAATCTTCTGCTCGACGGGAAGAGTGTAAAAGGAATTGAGGTACTGTAGTTCGACAAGGGCCATTTCCCATTTTCCCTCCAGGGTAATGGGATGTTTTAATTTGGTCGTCCAATTGGAAGGGGTGTTGCTGGGGTCCGTAGCGACATCGCTCGGGAGCGTCACGTAGAATGGTGCTCCTTCGTACTTGATGATGCCTTTATCCAGGAATCGTGCTCAGGTCCGTAACCTAACCAGCGAACTAGTACTCTATCACCACGGCGTCTAATAATACGGTCGATAGTATATTCTTTCTGTTCCGGACGCGATACTTTGGAGAGCTCGTGTTCATAAAAGGTCCCTTGGATAGGTTGGTCTTGATAGTCCTTTAGTCGGTATACCGGTACGGTATGTGAAATGACTTTAATGATGTAGAACACTTCCTCCTTAAATCGATACGTATAGCCTTTTTCCACCATGGTTTTGTGCACGGCTATCCGGACTGCATCGCCGACCTTGAATCGAGGTTGCCGGGTTTCCTTGGTTGGATACAATTTGTTGAATACCGCCAAGGAATTGTTCTGGGTGACGTCTATTGGTCGCAATCCATTATCCATGTGCTCGATGTTTGGAGTGGTTATATGAGTACACCAAATCTTGCAGTTTGTCAATGTACCGGGTCGAAACCCGCGCACGAAACAAACGAAACATTCGTGTTTTGATGGTACGGATAACGCGTTCGGCCATGGCACATTTGATGTCTTCGTTTTCCGATGTGAAAAAGTGAATCTTTCTCTCTTTTAAAAAGGTCTTGACCGTTGCGTTGACGGCTTCGGTGCCTTTATCGTACTGCAGCTTTTCCGGCTCACCGAGTTCTTCAAAAGCCTTGGACAAGGCATTCTTGGTTTCGTCGGCCGTTTTGGACTTCATTGGTTGGATGCTCAGCTTTTTAGAGAAGCAATCAATTACAAACAGCAGGTGTTTGTACCCATCATTTTCTTTGGAATATTTCGATAAATCAGCCAGATCCGCTTGGTACTGCTGACGAAGGTTGGTCACTACGATCCGGTTGCGTGCAAAGCGGCGTCGATTTTCCTTGGTCACAGTGTACGCATCGATCTCTTGCAGAATCTCCTGTGCTTTCCGTCTGTTGGCACTGGTCTTTAGACTTCTTCGGAACCTTTCCACACCTCCAAGACCGCCGGGATCGCGCGGGTTGAGGTATCGTTTCATTAGTTTCTCCATTCCCTTTGTTGCAGCAGGTGGAGACACAGTTGATCTTAAATATACGGCATAACCGTAATACACTGGGGATAAGACCAGCCATTACATCAGAGTGATCCACTGAATTCTGGTTTGGCCCGCCCCTTTTTGGATGGTACGCGAGCGCAGTTTTCTAACACTGCCTTCGATCTGGTCCGCCTTTCTTTTTTTTCCACGTAGGGGAGTGGTGACGGGGAACAAAGGTCTACGAGGTCGCTTACGTGAAGACCCTTGGTTGTCGATGCTTTCAGTCGGTCGTTTTCGACCCTTCTTCGGTGCGGTCGGAGGAAACAACGCTATGCGCACTGCTTTTGCTGGTCGCGATTCAGTACTATCGTCCTGATGGCGTTTGGAGCCTTTCTTTGGTAGCGACGCCGGAAACAAAGCAATGCGTGCGGCCTTTGGTTTGTTGCTGTCTTCAGTATCGCTTTCGTGGTCGCGCTTCTGTCCTTTAGTGGGTAAATCGGATGGGAATAAAGGTTGTCGAGGCTGCTTCGTAGGTGCAGCTTCCTCAAATTCTTCTGGTATCTTTCGTTTTTTGAGAAGTTGGCTGTTCTGACTCTTGTGTTTCAACAATCATAGCTTGCGGTGGCAGTCGGGAATACGGACGGAATTCCGAGGGCCGTGGATTCCTTTCCGCAGTTATTGGAAGCGGTTGAGTGACTACATCCGTGGGTAATTCTAACGGATTTTCATCAGGAATGGCTTTCTGTTTCAAAGCAAGGAACCGTTCTAGGATACTACTCAGCTGGTTGGCTTTTTTCATACTCGCTTATATCAGTACGTTGGAGCGTTTGAATTACGAGAGCGTCCAGCGATAAAACACTTTGTGCTTCCGGGGGTTCTCTGTTGATCTGGAGCTGTTCATGGAGCCGGCTTTCCATTACTCGGCGTGGAACAATAAAGTATTCATCCATCTCCGATAAGAGAAGTTAGAACACCGGCAATGACTGGTAAGATGGCTCCAATAAATCCTCCTTGCTGAATCAGTTTCCGTTTTTCTTTCAAAGGGTAGCGACGTAAGGCAATCAGCTTTAATGCTTTCCGATACCGTTTGCACTTATCTGCTTCGGCGGGAGATAAGTTAACTGTATTTTTCACAATATTGACAGCCACTTCTTCCAGCGCTTTAAGTTGCGATTTGGTTAGGTAGCCCACAAGGACTTTCCGCTGTTTTGGCTTCAAGTGTTGCAGCGTGATGATGAAGGGCGCTAAGGCCTTTACCCTTTCCGACATTTTGGTAAAGTGCTTGTGGAGTTCCGGTTCAGATAAATCCGCATTCGTTCACCCGGTAAAACATGGGATCGTATCCTTAAATAATCGGGGCACGTTGGGCGCAAGTCCAAAACCAAGGGTTGATAAGGTTCCGATGTAACTTTGTTATAAGCGTCGACCAAGTGTTTTAGTCCAGTTTGACGTGCCAGCAATGCGATTTGATTGACATCCCGGAGGTTCTTAAATAGTATCAAGTATTGCGAATTGAGTGTGATGTCACGCATCGATTTTCCTTGTTTGTACAGATTTTGCAGCAGCATGATGACGGAAACGTTCTTGTGATGTATTCCACGGGTAAACAGGTCAGAACAACGAGCATCCTTGCACAGATCAGTAGCCAAATCGTCAATAATAACCAAGGTATGAGTCTTACTGTCAACTGACTGCAAATGTGAGAAGAGGTCGTCCAGACCCTGCAGAAATTCAACTGGAGTAACCTTCTTTCGTAAGGTTTCGAAACCCTCCTGCCATTGACCGTAACAGTATAATATCCTCGTTGGTTGTTGATCCAGAACAAAGTTTCTGTTTCTTAGGAGCATAAATACAAAGTTTGTTTTGCCCGACATTGTGGGCCCACAAATGCACATTCCAAACGGAGCGCAAAAGCGCGGATAATCGTTTATCACGCTGAACATTTTTAGCAAACACATAATGTTTGTGCACCAAATATGTTCCGCTTAAATAGGCTTTGTTACGAACGGGTATTTTTAAATAACAGTTATTGTTTCAGTGATCAATAATGCAAAATAATTCATAAAGCGTTTGAAAGATTTAACTACTCGTGGAAAATAAACAACGCTAGTCTATTTAAGGGATGTTTATGTGTTTCGATAATAATAGACAGTTTACAATGGCTAACCTCCAGCACATGTTGTGCTATGCACGTACCCTAGAGCAAAAATGCGAGAAGGTGTTGTTAATTATTCTGTACGTTGTGTTTTTCGTAGTTTTTGCTGCGTTTGTTGTCATCGAAAGCGTGGGAAAAATTATGCAGACCGACTACTGGAACAACACCCTACGAAACCGAACAGTCGAACAATATGACCTTTCAAATGTTAGGTAAGAACTTTACAGCATTTCTTTGAACGATTGCGATGCATACGTGGTTCTGACTAATTGAAAATTTTACCAGAAACTTATGTTATCATTTTTATTACAGCAAAAATGCAACGGTCGGATTTCATGGAGCTGTGTAAGATTGGGCGTGTCTTTAAGCCATCAACTCCGGTCATACCTTTTGAATCGACCCATATACGGAAACAAAAAGCTGCAACAATCTTCCGGAACGAAACTGTTCTTTCTTGACGATGGCGCCACAGAAAATAGTGCGACTTTTTATTGATTCAACAGCAATTTCAGAATGAAATAAAACTTCCATTATGCGTATTGCCCGTTCAGATCAAATACGTAACAAAAAAAACCACACTTATTTATCTAAAGATTACTTAAAAATGTACTGTTGCTACGGTGTTGTACGTACGTGATTGACCGTTGCACTCACATGGATCACCGATTCCGATAATCCCATACTTGCAAGGGCCATCAAAACCAGGAAGGATTATAACAGTGACCCGTTTCTTACATGGGATCACTGAACTCGGTGATCCGTGTCGTACATGGGATCACTGAACTCGGTGATCCGCGTTGTACAAGGGATCACTGAACTCGGTGATCCATGTCGTACAAGGGATCACTGAAATCGGTGATCCATGTCGCACAAGTGAAAAAATAGGGAAACCAAGATTGAACAGTGGTCGTGGTCGTTCGGCACATGTGTCACCGCAATAGCATACTTACCCAACCACAGATCAAGCTTCCTGTTTTTCCTTTTTTGTTTTTGTCACTCAAAAAGTAAAGGTAATGCACTAATCAGTATGTCCTTTTCACAATGCCATCTAACGAAACGATATTTAGTCTGCAATTTCATGACATATTTTCACAAAATCACATATTAAAAACATACCATTCGTTAAAATTCACCCCGGTCAAAAAACACACCGTTAATTATCTCCTAGGGCAGAAACACACAGACCGTTAATTATCCCCTAGGGTCTAAAATTTGGACCCCCCGGATAAAAAAAACTGGTTCAGAACCATCGGGATACTACTATGAGTGCTTCAGTTGTAGGAACTGGTGGAGACCGTTGTTCCAGTTGGTGCTGGACTGCACCACGCCTGTGGTTGCATAGTCCACCGGTTTAATCTGCCCCTCATCGACAATGTAGTGGACGTTCTCCTGGTACTTGATCGCGGTCAGTGCGCTCTCCACCCACAACGGAATCTGGTTTCGTGCAAAGTCTGCGATATTGGCAGGAAACTGCAGACAGAGTGACTTTGATTCCAATACGGACTGAATGTGCTGTGTCATATGGCTTTTCAGAAACGTTTCCAGCTCGTTGATCTCGAAGATTTGCGCGGTTACTAAAGCGGCGCTCGATGCTTCAAAAATAAACCTGACTAGATCGTGAATTATCAGCAGTTCGCCGTTTGAATTCGCAAACTGGTAAGTGAATGTGCCGCTGATTTCATCGACTGTGATTCGGCCCTCAACATAGAACTGATGTTCCCCAACGGAGAACAGGTGAGACTGTACATGCGTCAAACGATCCCAAATGAGGCAGTACAACACATGTAGCGTGTCCATTCCCGGCAGCGTCGTTGAGAGGCGAGCTAATTTCGCGCTGTCGTCTATTAGAGCGGAATCCACTTCATCCACGATAGCGAAGTCCGTGGTGCGGCCGCCCAACGTACCCAGTCCACTGTATTTATCCCGCAGATAATCAAACTGGAACTGCGCACATTCGCCGTACACAATCCGCTGATCGTAGCACGGCTTCTTCTTGGCAACGTACACGCCTTTGTCGCCGTTGTGCCCGCACGTCAGTCCAAACAGTTGGTAAAACTGTGTCCATTCCTGTGCGTCGCGTTCCGCCAGCACCGGACTGCTGGTGTAAATGTCCACGGTGTGACCTTCGAGTGCTTTTACCGCGGCTAATACCGCAACGATCGCGGATTTACCGGATCCGGTGGCGACTTGCTGCAGTTGACCTTTCGTGGTGTCCTTCTTCAGTTTATCCAGAGCGACCAGACAACTTAAAATTTGTACTTTTGTGAGAACGAAATTTTTAAAATTTTCCATGGCGAGGCGGGCGATCGCCAAGGCCTCCGTTACGAATTCCGCTGGTCGATATTCGTGCCTCCGGGCAACGGCTCGCTGCGCCCAATGCGTAATGTCCGTAGCGGTCCATGTGCTGACCAACATGTCGGATTTGTAAACACGACTGCGCAGATCAGCATCGAAGATGCGGAAAATGTGTAACTGCAAAATGTCCCATTCGTAACCGGCTTTCATGAAGCGTTCGCGTAGACAGATCCATTTGTATGACACTCGCGTGTTGTTGCGGCGGAATTCGCCGACGATGTGCGCTACCTGTTTAACACCGTGTTTACCTTCGAAAACCTTTTCGCGAGTAAAAGTGTTAACAACTGCTACGATCTCCGATTCGGTGCGGGCAATGGAGACTGCCTGCCGAAGGGCGGTGAACGACGCACCGGATAAATTATACTGGTGCGCTTGGCCAATTGCGTGCTCGAATGATTTCAGGTTGGGATTAGTAGCCGAACAAAAAGCGAGAAGTTGTTGCAAATCGCAAAGCGACACTGCACCTTGGCATAATTCCCCGATCACGCGTTCAAGTCTTTTTCGGTGAATGGTATTATCCGGAATATTCTGCATGAGGAGCTCGGTTCCCAGCTGAACAGCAATTTCTTGAAGTCGTTTTGTGCCTGGATTGTTCTGCCTGAAGAAATACTTTTTTTCTATCAAATTCTGAATGTTTGCTCCTTTAAAGTAATCAAAAAAGGCTGTGAACTCTTGCATGGAGTTAATTTTACCGCAATCCGTACAGATTACTGCGGCCACGTCAATTCCGAATGCGGACATAAGTTGTTGTGTCAATAAGCCAAGAATCTGTGTAGACTGAGTGAATGTGATCTTTGCCGCAAGCAACTTTAAGATGAATTGTTCGGCAGTCTGCCTTTCGAAGTCGCCCTTGGAAGTTTGCTGACATTCTTTCAGTTCTGGTGCGTCTAGTATTGTCAAACCAAACAGTATTCTCTGCAGTGATAATTTCTCGACACTGCTGCACACTAAGGTCAGGTAATCGAAAAACTCCTCTCGTTCTTCGTCAACATGAAACTTGTTTGCAATGATCGTCACGTGCTGATGTATGTCAACAGCCAAGTCAAAGGAATCCACAAAGTTCACCAGGAAATCGGAGATAAGCATCTGCTGTCGCCACTGCATTCTATTCAATCGAATCGGTTTGATAATTTCGAAATCCCAGTGTGTTAGGCATAAGAGAAACTTGGCAAAACCTTCGTTGAAATTCGTGTCAAACGCCAGCTGATGTACGACTTCGCCATCACCGCAATTGGCAAAGATTCGCTGAAACGCGTGCGTGCAGATTGAGCCAAAAAAAGTTTTGAAACCTGCGACTACCGGTGAGAATCCGGCAGTGATCTCAGTGTCTCCAACCAGTGCAACCACCGCCATGGAATACACAATGTCGAGCCCAAGTACACATTGCCTACGCACAAGACACGATGGATGCTGGAGCAGCATTACCAGATAGCCCAAGACTCTTGGTTGGAGCAGCGTTTCTGGGGCGTTGCAACTCGCCGACTTCATCAACGCAACAAGACACTGCACGATAAGTCGTACCTTGACTATCGAGGTTGTTTCGCTGATTAAGGAATCAGCAAAAACTTGAACGAATTCGTCCGGACTCATTATTACTGGTTGTTCATGTAACGATAATACGGTTTTCAGCGCTTCCAGTAGTGTATCGCTGATGGACTCTCCATGAGTCCTGATTTTATCACAAAATATTTCCATGATTCTCGTTCGCAGTTCACAGTTCTTGTCAAGAGCATCGAAAATCTGAGACGTTGAGACTTTGCCAGCTAGATATTCTGCGAGAATCGTAAACCGGGAAAAATCCTTTTCCAGAAGTGCCGTTAACGTTCGCTCATCCAAATCAATTTGGCTGATTTCATGCAGCATTGTAGTCAGAACGTCTGCCGCAATTTCTGCGTTTAAGAGTTTGTACAGTTTACTGGATTTCCGGTGGCTATCGAATTCATTCGCAAACACTGAGGAAGCGCCTATACTTTGCCGATCGGTAGAAATGTACGCTTTCAGATTTTCCGTTGGCTTGATACCATGGTTCAGGCCCGCAACTATCACGCTCTCACACGTGTCAGAAACTTTCTGATTATTGGTGCTGAGCTTGGCGAACCCAACGGCTTCCAAAGTCTTTTCCGGCAATCTAGAAAGCCGCGGATAGCTCTTCACAATTGCGAGCGCTGCATTCAGAACTTTCGGGTCGGTATCGTTTTCAAAAATTTTTTGCATTCGAGCTTGACAGTCTTGCGATTCGAAGAATTCAAAATCATCCAGCCTGCACAACATGGGGAGATCTGTCAGCATTTCCACGTTAGTCTTGTTTTCCAGATGCGACAGGTTCAGGCTGGCCTTCACAGACGCCGGTAATATTTTGTGCATTGATGTTAAATACTCGGAGACCGTTTCTTTAAGGGAACCGGTGGACGAAGCAGATCGTTGAAGTTTTATCAACAGCTTGAAATCTTTTTCGTCATGAAGCGCTGCTTTCACCGGACTATTGTAACGGCTCAGAGATATGAAACCATTCAGCGCGGTTTCAATCATCTGGGCGTTATCAGAGCTCATCGCTTCCACGAAGACCGCTTTCAATCGTTCTGGATCGATCTTCCATGCAGCGGATGCAGAGTTAGCTTGGCTCGCAAGAGCGGAAAGTATATCAAGTTTTTGGCGATGATTGCCGCCGCTTTCCTTTTTCCAACCTTCACAGAGTTTAGCAGTAACGTCATGCGTGTCGGGAACTTCGAAGTTATTGTTCATTAGTTTAGTAATAATGCTAAACTTAGCACAATTCTCGAAGTTTCGAAACAGATTTGGGAAGCTACCAGAACAGAAATCCTTTACGATTTTCTGGGTGAAAGCTTCTGGTATCGATTGGTTGTTCTGGACGATTGCGCTGGCCAAACGGAGCTGAATAACCGGCATCTGAAGCTTCGCCGTTTTATTGTCAAATACCCGGTCAATTATTTCGTGAGGGAGAATTTGCCCGTTTTCGCACACTAACAGTAAACACTCCAAGATGATTTCCACATTGACGCTCTTTATAATGCACAGTTCGAAGAATCTCTTGTTCAACATGGACATTGTAAATCCTGCCTGGAAATACCGTTTTAAAATCTCAAATAAGCCGTTCTTTGTTCGTTGATCTAATAACTCCGAAAATCCGAAACTCGCCGAAGAACTGTGCGCTGCCAATATGCGCGCCGTTGCAAATTCCAAGTCAAAACGACAAAAAGCATGCTCAGAAACATCTTGCACACAGACGGCTGAGAAGGTCAACCAGAAGCCCAGTCGTTCACAGCGTTGTTCCGTATCGAAGCGCTGCTGTAAAATCGCCAATACTGCAGGATTTATACACTGGTAAAATTTCTGCGAAATCACAAATAAGATATTGGCACAGATTTCGAAATGCTGATTGTCATTTAGAATCATGTTCTCCACTGCATTCAAACAGTACACTGGAAGTGCACGTTGTACCACTGGCGACTGAACCTGCGCGTACAAGATCCTGACCACAATTTCTTGGTGTGCTTTAGCGTGTGGCGCTTCTTCTGCCATTAAGATAGTCGACAATTGCTGGTGCACCGTTTCCGTAAACTGAACATTCGACGCAGAATTCAACACGACCTTTAAGACGGAGGCATTGATCTCCATGGTAAAATCGCGTCCGCTCAGCAAGACCGGCTCAAAACTGAACATGAGGGCCAAATCCGTCAGTGCGCCTGCAGTCAGGGTCTGTTTCCTCTCGCTAAACGTCACGCGCTCGAGAAGCAGACAGTATGCGGCTGTGCAGTTAATGCGGACATCAGTAACCGCGCTGGTAGTTAGGGCAAGCAATGGCCACAGATGCTTATCGGTCAGGAAGGAGTAGCGGTTAATTGCTGCATGGAAAACGCATTCAGCACAGCGTATCTGCGTGTTCTTGTCCGGACTGGAATGGATTGCGGCCAGTATTTCATCGAGGGGGACGCTGGAGTTTAAAGAGTTCTTTGGGAGAAAAATCAGCTGCAGCAGCATTTCAGAAATAACTGCCGTTACGTATTGGAGACCCACGGCCTTTGTATTGTGGTCAGCATTAAGCCGAATGACACCGTCTTCGTCGATAGCGTCGTTGAATTTGAGACGGGATGCCAGCCGCTCCACTCCGGGTATGAGGCTCACCTTCTTTGCAATGACCAAGTTACCCACGACAACGATGATATTTGCAGCCAGCTGCCGGTCAGTCTCCAAGTACAGCGCATGCTGCACCAGCATTCGAATTGTCTCCTTTGAATTTCTGTCTGAGACGTTGAATTTCGGGTGGCTAAGTGTTTTAAGGGTAATCCCAATGATACTCTGTACATAAAGTTTTTGAATCGCTTCGGAATCCTTCCTATTCCAGCTAGCCAAAAACAAAACGAAACGTAAAGTAAGGTACCAAATCCACGTGATGCGCAACCAATTAATGCCACTTGATATACTCGTACGAAAATAAACCGAAATAAATTTTTGCTACTCGACAGAAAAGCGCTTTATAAATAAGCACAGGAGGGATCTTACGGTTAGAGTGATTTATACATTGACGTGGCGGAGATGCTAAAGAGAATCGTGCTACTGGACACTTCGATGCTTTTCGCATTTGGAACACATTTTCTTAAATTAATGGCGTTGTGAATTTCTATCACATTGAAATATTTTTTACTCAGCTAAGCAATTTAAATATTAATAATATTCATAGCTGCCCAGTGCCCACTTCTGCAGCAGCGGTTATCAGTGCTTCCTAGTGCGAAGTTACAGAGAAAAAGTCGTCCGAACGCAAAAAATTAGAAGCGTGCAGTAGGGTTGCCTTACTGGGAGTACAATGTCGAGGCTTGCTCCACAGTAGTCAGCAGACTTTGAATACTCTCTGATATGGCCCGGGGAAGCTTCTCATGGGCGTGTGCCATCAAGTCGTTCAGGACGGCGGCCACTGAAGCAGCGGTTTTCAAGCCGTAGTGACCTTTATTCTGGCCGGTCAAGATATCAACCAATGTACTGGAAAAAGACAAACTTTTCTCTAAATTTAGCGCGCGACCGGGATGGACAACTTGCTCCCAGATATATTCAATGCTATGCTGGGTCACTTCATCCTGTTCTCCCGTTGCAAGCTTCACGATATCCAGGGCAACAGCAAAACTCTCCTGCATATTGTTGTCGTCCTTTTTCAGAATGACCCACAACATTTTCTTCATATCCCGCGTACACTCGCTGCTCTTCGTTTGGAAATTTAATAAGATTTTCAAGACTTTTTCCGGTAGTTTTCCATTACTTCGCTCGGCACACAGATGGTACATTTTCAAGAACTTTAGCCGGCAGTCATCGTAACCTCTGTCCAGTGACGCTTCGAAAGTTGATTTTGCCAGCTCCAGTTGCGTGGCATCGTCCACGACCTGATTCTTGGCGATGAGGGAAAAGGCCAGCGCAATATTGGCAAAGGTTGTCATTCGGCCTTCCCAGAAATTCCCCACGTAACCGTAACAGAATTTATCCTTTAGATACACGATATCGTCCTGGCAGACGGCCATGTTTGCTTGAGCTCGGGCCAACAGATTATCAATTTCTTGCGCAGTGCTGCGGAAGTAAGAACGGACGCTGCTGCCCTTACTAATCAGCGCCGGGTTGATTTCCATTTTCTGCGCGGTTCCACGATTGCTGGCGCGACTGCTGTTCAGGGCTTTAGCCAAATCAATCCGCTGCAATTCCGTTTTCTCTGACATATTTTCTTTGTATACCGTGGTGACTGTTTGTTGCGTCTTTACGGCGTCAGCTTTCACTGCACTTTTCCCCGAGTTCACGCATTGTCTAAGCATCTCCTGTCCGCTGGCCAGTAGTCGTTCGCTTGACCAGCTGCTGTTTTCACTGACAATGTCGATGGGTGCAGCTGCAGACGGCTTCTTGCCACCCACCGACACCGATATTCCATGTGCCTGCAGCGTTTCTTGGAACTGGAGTTTTGTATCAGCATTTACAGCAGAAGCGTATTTAAATGCTAGTTTAACCAAGCCATCACGATCTGCTTCGTTACCAGAGCTGCATGCACTGATCTTCAGGATGATGCATTGCATCAGCTGCGAAACAAGTTCTCGGGTGTGCAAAGGTAGGTCACGAAAGGCATCCGTGGCGTCCGCATCCAGCACGGTAGAACAAGCAGTCACAAGTTCCTTCGCGTTGATAACTGCCGGATCTTGTTGCAGGCAGTATTTCAGACACTGTGCGATTTGCTGGTTCAAGTAAACGTCACTCGAAACTTCCGGGTTCTTATCGGTAATCGAGCACAACTTGGACAGCAGGTATTTAACTACTGGTTGCGGAAGACCATGTCGTCGGGACAAGTACTTGAGACAGGAAACTACAGAAACACTCGCTTTGCCTACCGGAAAATGCACCATCAGATTTGCAGCCTTTCCCAGTTTTTTCCATCCTTCTTGGATTTTTGCGTGCACAACCGCTGAATCGGGGTCGTGAACACATTCCATGAAGAGAGCTTTCATTGTTGCCGCGCAGACGGAATGAGTGGACGGTTGGTTCGCTACAGAAAAGATTTAAGCGCTGGTCACTGTAGTCAAAGGTTACTTCGGGATTCCTCAATAACCGTTCTCATTATAAACATTCTTTAAATTCATTATAAACAGCAGCAGGGACCGGTTGTTGAAACTGAATAGTAAAAGTTAGCGGTCGTTAAAAAATTCCAAAGACAGCATTTAGATGACCTGTTAAGAGAAGCCTCGGTTCTGCTGGTTATCTATAGCCGGTAATGACATGTACTGCGGCCCCTGTTGGATGAAAAATGAACATGCTTCTAGTTTTGTAACCGATTGCACGTAAATATGCGAAAGGGACTCTCTGTAAATGTGTCAGAACACATAAGACCAGGGCAAAATTGTCCGCAGTGGCCAGTACTATGCGCATTGATGCTTAAAATGCTATGCGTATGCATATGGGATATATTTTGCCGTTTTGCGGGGCGCATAGAATAATTATTCTGTCCCTTACGGAAATGACGTCAAGGGAGCTGTAAAGAAGGGTCTGAGTTTTTTCCATAACAGAGGCACGTTATGAAAGTGTGAAGAACGGAAATGTTCATGTTAGAACCGTCACTGCTCACTACAAGCAACTACTGACTGCTACTCACTAATATTATTATTAATAATTATTATTATCGAGCAGCAGTAGCCAAACTCAACATGGGGGACTTTTAAGGCTATTGAAAAATACTTTTGGTATTTTGAAATTTTTATAATTTTTCGGTTTGATTTTATGAGATAAAAGTTACTTCGTACCGCCCAGATTAATGAATGCTATTAAGTACATATTCGAAATGACTAAAGCCTATTACTGTACCCGCGCGAGTTTAAGGGACAGAAAATTGCCCCAGACCGCCCGCACTGGGTGTCGGCTTCTTTGACATCAAAGAAACCGACATCTAGTGCGGGCGGTCCAGGGGAATTTACTGTCCCTTAAACTCGCGCGGGTACAGTAGAAAAAATAGATAATACTGTAATTTGAGTGCACACTGTCGTACATTTTTCTGTGTAAGTTTTAGTTGCAGTACTCGTATATGAAGTTATGAACACATTTCTTTTGTTTAGATTTTCGCGAAACGTGGCACATGTAACATACATACGTGTGCGCTGAAGACACCAAAATATCGTACATGTGGATAGCACCAGCCAGTATGTATATGAACACTTGAACAGTGCCGCCGGTTGTTATCTGCACAGAACACTCAAATGACGACCTTTGTGTCCTCTGAGACCTCTGTGTCTTGTACACACAGTGTACGATTTTGCAAAAGTGTTGTTAAGCGAAGTTTCGGTTTCCCTTGTTATCTATGACCACAAGTGAATTGAAGTGATAAGCTTCGACATGCTTTTGGCTTTGTGACTGATTAAACGTACGCGAATGGCCCAACACCGTGCACCCAACGGATTCGACGAAAAAGGCAAAATTTATTAATTTACAGATTATCTGTAGGTGCCTTGGCGCATATAGGTCAATACTAAGTATTCGGTCAGGCGCCAGTGGAATATAGGTTGTGCTTTATGTCAACATTGCTGTCCCCGTCTGTTTAAGCTACCGTGCAAGCAATTAGCAGCACATCTGTAGAAGTGCAGTACGAGTATTATACGTATGTATCTGTTTTGAGCATAATCAGCTAAGTAGCGTTTTACCCCGGCACGTTTTCTCAGATTTATTTTGCCATGGTTTTAATACTTACAGATAATTTGTTAGGCCCCTTTGTGATGTGCAGGCTGCTTGCCCTTATTCCGGCACCAAATTGTTGCCTTATTGACAAGTTGACAACTAATAATTTATTTTGATTATCTGCATGAAACTGTAAACTACCAAAGATCTAAATAATACGATATTAAAAATAGTTATATTATATAGGCATATAGGTATATTATGTTATTTATGTAGCACGGTAAATAGTATGTAAACAGCATGTTCAGTGCCGATCCCAGCACATCAGCATACGTAAGCAACCAACGCTAAAACAAAGGTTTCTACCTTCTGGGGAGATTCGTTAGTTTTCACCTAACATACCGACAGTTGTAAGATTTTCAGCAACTGGCATAATATGAGTGTAATCGCGCAAAATCCGTATTCGTTTTGTTCGTTCCTTACGCTGTAAATCTTTTTGATTGGGTGGATCCATTCTCGATTATCCTGACTGACGCCCAATGGTTACCGGTGGTGTACCGCTTCGATGTTCCACTCGGTTTTTGTTTTTGCCACGCCACTAATGGCACAGGCTAGTACTTACAGCGACACAAAAATTCTGCAAATATTTAAAATTTTAGTAATTACTCGTATTATGCTGCCATCTGCATGATTCCCACTGTTGCAGGCATCAATCAGCAGCAATGGACGAAACCGGCAGCTGTCGATTCTGGTCGGCATGTCTGGCATGAGATGAACAATTCACATATTACAATATTTATGCATGATAACCAAAATGTCATCATTATGTAAGTCCCACAAGCACACATTAATCGATTTTTAAGTTGACCTTACCTGTCATTTTCAGTTTGTGTCGGGCTCGTTCAGATAACGAAGTCAATAAAGAAAAATGTGGCAGAAACTATGTGAAGCATGAACTAGTATACACAAACAAGTAACGCCGCAATTTTTCATCGGTGAGCTATTCAACTAATAAAAGCTGCAAACTGTGATAATATTCATTGATAAACAGATCTAGGTCGTTTAGAATCGAGTTACCCGGACATTGTATTTCTCTGTTGCAAGAAACAGTTAACAGTCGTACGTAGTATGAATACCAGCGAGACATACACTGCAAAAGCTGCGCTTCCGGCTTGTTGTGTGGTAAATAAAATTGTGCGCTATTATCTCGGATAGTTAGTAGGGAAATGCGGTTGGCGATATGAACAACAGTAACTGGACAGTAAACCAAGTAGGACTTGCGTTACCAGCAGAGCTGTTGTAATAAAGTACTCGTACCCACTGTCCCGCTGCTTATATTATTAATCCTCCAGCTTCTGCGCCTTAAGAAGCAGAAGCAGTTTGGTGGTATAACGCGGAAAATACGGTTTCTGTTCTCGGAAAGCAACATGTTGGAGGACGTAGATGCATATGCTTTTTTGTTCTTAAGTTTGTAGCGGGAATAGTGGTTATAATGTTGTACTTAGTGTAATCAGACACCTTCGGTGGATATTGATAACCTTTAGCAGAAGGACATTTAGACCTTCCACCTTCCTGTCGGCTACAAGCACCGAAATCCTCAAAATCTAGCAAGCCATTTTGTTGCTAGGTAAATGTTAACGACCATCAAGAACCAAGAAAAGCGCTTCCGGCACAAATCTTCCGGTGCTGGAATACGTCGCACGGCTCGGTTGGCAGAGCTAACTAACACCATCATCACAAATATTCTGGAACGTTGGTGAGGGTCATTTTACCGGTCGCACATCACCACAGTCACTGCTGTACTGCCGTCAGAGTTTCCTTGGAGCTCCGTAGCTGCTCGTTCTGCAAACACCGGGCAGAAATCCGTTGTTAGCGATGTCGAAACAGCCTCAAATGCAGTCAGCGCATGCAACGAGATAGAACCACATCCTGTATTAATATACTGTGTTCGCACATAAAACAAGGCATACGATGTACCGTACGTCGATATATGTAGCGTAATACCCGGTCTTGTCCGAAACAGAATTGAATTCACATTACGTCTGCAACTACTGTTTCCAAGGGAGCGCTTCCCACGATTACGGCTTTACCGGTGTCCTACTGTCCATGCTATAGTTTTGTTGAATTTGATTTCCCAATACTACAATTCGTTTCCCTCAATAATAACCGTTGCGCACTTGTGTTTCGCTTCAGCGGCCAGACGTCCACAACTAACTCTGGTTAAGAAAAAGCACAACAAAAACGACGCGTATGAAAAACAGCGATTCTTGTTTTCGCTGCGAGCTGGTGTAGACCTTTAATAACATTTTTCTGCATTACATTACCCTCTTTCTTACACTTGTTTATATTAATAGGAAAAATAAGAGATTTGACCGATGAGCAAACGGCAAGCAACGCAATGGCACTACAAATCACGCCGAACAACACTTCCTGTGCCCCATCAGCACACGCTGACCATTCATGATGTTACAATAAACAACAGGCACATGCAAGTTAAAAGAATAAAAGCCCTCATTCACGGAAAACACAACAACATCACGGCGCACTTGGGTGCAAGGAATGCAGCCACTCCTGGCAGCGCTGCAGCGCCGTCTGCAGTTGCCCCTGGCTGTTGCGCAGTCGCTCGCACTCCTCCCGCAGACCGGCCACGTCCTCCAGCTGCTGCTGCAGTTTCTCCATCTCCGCCGCTAACTCCTGACTCGACGCCCTGCAGCATTGAAAAAGCATTGACAATTTCATGAAAAATGAGTTGGATTTCTTCTTTGAAAAATCAAATTAAAAACAATTACGTATCTTGAAACTTTTCCTGATTTTTAACGGTGGGAAAACGCATCGGCAATTTTCATAAATCGGTTCGCAGTGTTCAGACATATGTGATGGCGAGTTCGATACACTATACTACAGTATTTTTCACATATGCAACAACGCTGACATGCTCACACAATTCTGATACTGCGCAGTTGTACGGCATCAGTTTCACAAATTGATCTTACAGGACAAAAAGCAAGAAGAGATAACAGGATGCAATGCCGTAAAAAAATCGAAAAGCTGCAGGTGATTTTATTACTTGTATAATGTATTGGTCAAATTCATCTACGCAATCAATCTTTGAGATTTATTATAATAATTATTTCCTAAAAGTTATGTTCTCAAATGCAAACTCGAAGGAAAATGACATCGCCGTTTAAGGCAATGAGCTGATAATATGCTCACATAATGGAGGACATCATGCTAACATTACACATTACACTACAATATTCTCCACAATACAGCACATCATAGGCTCACATAATTCGGATTACACGGGTTTTCAAGTAAAAGCAGGAAACAGAAATGAAGATATAATACCATAAGAAAATTTCAAACAAACAAAATTGGCGATTCTGTTGCACGTACATAAACGGAAAATACACTTCGAAATCCGAGACAGATAAAAATTTAAGAACATCGACAAGACAACGTATCAAATGTAATAGAAATATTTTAAAACTAGGAGAAAAACCTGTAGCAATTTAATAACAAAACATTTAAAGATATATGAACACAAACGATTCAAAAATAAAATTCAATAATAATAACGCCACTTACGCGGCTCCAACTTCCTCGGAATTCTTCCCACCCGGCGTCTTGGCGTAGAACTCAATCAGCCGATTCCGCTCGGCATCCAGATTATCCTGATAGCTCTTCCTTACCGCCTCCAGCGCCGCTTTCGTGGCATTGACCTCATCCTGCAGTTCCTGCTCCTTCATTCTCTTAACCATCCGCACCTCGTCCTCAAACTGACACCGCATCGCCGCCAACTGCGCCTCCTTCTCCCGCTCCATCACCAGCAGACTCTTCCCGTAGATCCGCTGCATCTCCGCCAACTCCTGTTTATACTCCCCCACTTCCGGGGGATGTCGGTCGGGAGAGGGAGCCAGGGCGGCCAGTTCCGTGGAGATGGAGGTCAGGACGTCGTCGCGACGGGAGAGGTCGGTGTGGTGGCGTTTCTCCTGGGATTGCAGGCGGGATTGCAGGCTGGAGATCTCCGTGTGGAGGGCGTCGATGGTGGCGTGGCATTCGCGGTGAAGGGCGGCGTCATCCAGGTCGTCCGTTGACACGGCGCTGTCCGTACAATGCACACTACACAGTAAAGTCAAATGAATATTCCTGGGAAAAATAAATACGCATCGTATGAATTTTCCTCAGCTTTGCACTGTTGTATTGATATCCAAAAAGCTTTTTTGTCAGCTGTTGATGAAAAAAAAACGGACAATAAGCTGTTAGTATTTCACGAATTTCACGGGTGATATATTTACTAAATCGTTTTATGGTTGAACTTATCGCGTAAACCCTCGTGTTAAATTACCAGATCGAGCGTAGTGAAATGGCATGTCTGCATCACGGTCGTCTGCCGGGTGTGTTCGCCGGCTGCAGATGCTAAGAGAAGTTCAGTTCATACTCCTATAAAGCGTTTTCTTAAAATTTTTTCCGTTATGTCTACTGACATTTTGAAAGTGTTTTCCGAATACATAGCCCCAAAACAATTGTAGCAATTCAGACGATTCGAAATAAATTTTCCAAAATTGAATTATTCTAAATACAGTTCTAAACACAGGCTCCGGAAAATAAACCAAAAAGTATGCCAAAAACCGATAGAAAAGAAACATGTTAAACAAAAACCAATAACGAAACGTATATAAAACAAATAGAAGCGAAAAGACGATATACGAAAGGAAAAAAACGCAAATAATTTTTCACAAAATACGCCATAATGTCCTTGGAAATAAATACAATTCCCTGCCAGAAACTAAGATATATGCAATTAAAATTCTTAGCTTACCTATCGCGCTGGGTGGTGATGGTCTCCAGTTTCTCGCGGACATCGGCAAACTCCACATTCATCTCGCTGATCTGATCATTAAGCGCCACGTTCTCTTTCCGCAACGCCTTGATCTCCTTCAGCGCCCGCATCAATTTAACCCCCACCTCCCGCACATCGCTGCCGCCTTGGAGGATATCCCCCGCACCTCCTCCGCCGACACCCAGCTCATCGTCCGGCAGATCGCGCTGCAGCGCCGCCATCAATAGCGATTCCGTTTCCATCAACTTCCGCCGCAGACTGGCGGTCTCTTCGTGGCTGGTTTTCGCCAGCTGCTCGGATTGGCTGCTGGTTTCGCGGTGAGCGGCGTGCAGGGAGGAAACTTCCGCTTCCAGAGCGGTGATGCGGGATTGCAAGGCGGCTTCCGCGGTAGATTTCTCTTCTTCCAACTAGACAAAGAAAATCAACGAAAATCAGTGCAACGAAAAATTTATTTGAAAAAGAACAAACTCTTATTCACAGTTTTATCTATTTACACAAAAATGTTTCTCTGACTTGTGTGTCAATAAACAAGTGAAAAACGCTTCTGAAACATTGATAAAATAAAAAAACAACAACTTCCAGCTACACACACAGAATAACAAAAATTTAAATCATTTTTAAAAAAGACAAAAAATTCATTAAAATCTATTTATTCAGACACAGATATTTATTTAGACAAAAAGAATATTTTTTCTGCTCTGTGTGACACTGAACAGGTGAAAAACGCTTCCAACATATTAAAAAAATGAAATGAACTTATTTTAATGCCATGCGCTTTGGTTGACTGCACAAGTATGTACAGACACACGTAGCCAGGATTTCCACAACGATTTGAATACGCCATTGCACTACGCAACGCAAATAACGTTATGTTTTGCACACTGCAGTGCTGATAAGTGAAAAAAATTTTTTAACATTTTAACCAATAAACAGCCGGTTGGACGTAAAGCTCACTCCGTAGTCCGTAAAACACAGATAATATACTGTATATCAGGATTTTTCTGGCGTTAAAAACTGCGAAAACGGTTTAAAGAAATAAATAAACCAGATGGAAGAAAACCAATAAAATTCAATCAAATGCATTCGGCTGGCATCTACAGATACAAAGAATAGCCAACAACAAAGTACTTGCACCACGTAATAGTTCTTCTTTGCATTAAACCTGGTATCATACATTCCCTGCCAATCGTATTCACTAAAATACACTCGTATCGAGAATTTCAGATGCAATAATATCAATATGTAATGTGATTATTAATAATAATCATATGATTTAATTTAATAATTTATTTACGGATAATGCTTTGGCATCAGACAGTTCCAGAACGCTTTTGGCTTATTTAAAACATGAGTAAAAAAAATCAAAGGAGAGCAGTGTTTAGTTAAAATCGAGCTTCGACTGGTATATACACAGTACAGTAGCAAAGAACATGGCGAGATTGAATTCGGGCGATGTGCCATTTTAGTATTTTACTACAATTAACGCCATCAGCTCGGCGCCGAATGCACTACGTACTGAAAACTCCGACCAAAATAATTCTGTAAGAAGACCGATACGGAATTCTGAAACAATCCTACTGTATTTACGGGAAAAACATATCACATAATCAGGAATTACTAGTACATAGTTAAATTTTCCACTTGTTTATCTCTTTGAAATTAATTTGTAAAATAGGAATTTATTTTCTGATTTCCTTTGGCATTACACATTTCAAAAATGCTCCTGCATTTAAATTTTAAAACAGTTTTAATTTAAAACTAAATTTAATTTTTAAAACAGGATTAAATTTTAAAACAGGATCAGAAAAATGAAGAAAAACTATTTAAAATGCACTGCGCTTTGTTTAATGCACGATCAATCTACATGCACCCAAGCACGTTATAACTTTGAAGCCGGTGGTTTTAGCCGTTTTACTACAAATTATTCCATCTGTTCACGCATTGAACGAAAATGCTAAATATTTATAGTACGTTAAAATATTTATTCAGTAGAGTAAATTATTTGAGTTTCAAACTAAAAGCGGCTTCACTGTTAGACCAATTTTAATTGCAGTGAAATATTCGAGAGAAAAAAATCGTAGTACGAGTACATAAAAATCCAGAAAAAGCATTAAAAAATTTAAAAAAATAATATTTGAAAAAAAAACTTTAAAAATACACCTTCCGGGCTCTTTTTCATGCGCACTGACCTGATGATACTCCGCCTGTCCGCGCTTCATCTCCTCCACGACAAACTGCATCCGCTTCTCGTACTTGTCATTCAGCGTGCGGCTCATCTCCAGACTACTCAACAGATTCTGCCCGTCGCGCCGCGCCCGCTCCAGCTGCTCCAGCGCCTTGTTCTTCTCCACCACCACGCTGTTCTGCTCCCCGCGCAGCGCCTCCATCTTCTGGGCGGCCTCGCGCAGCAGTTGCTCGCGGTCCAGCAGCCGCTTCTCCAGATTGGCCACCATCGTCTCATAATGCCGCACATCCAGACTGATCTGCGTGGACTGGTCGGCGCTGCTCGTCACCGGGGGACTGCCGGTGGCGCTGCTGCGCTGTTTCGTCCGCGGCACGGAGTAGATGGGCTCCGGGTTGTGGAAGGACAGCGAGGAGGAACGCAGGGAGTCCGGCTTACCTGTGTGGGACATCGCACAATCAGATTCATATCAGCGAGAAAAACTCAACAGGTACAGTATACTTTATCAAAAATGGGATACATACACTAAAACTTTCGCTTTCGCGCACTCCGAATCACTTTTTTGTAATACTTTGTGTCATTCTAAAGCCAAGTGATTTATTTGTACATAATGTTCTGCAAATTGTTTGCGCGCGCAGTATTTGCGAGTCGAGATCTGGCGAACTAAAGTAGGTGATAAGTTTCAACGGATTCTTGTGTGCTAAAAATCTGGTTATTACGCGATCTTCTTCAAACTTTGCTGTAAAAGACACATGTTGAGTCGGGTACCATATAGACATTTACTTTTACAAAATTAAAAAATAAAAGTTGAAAAAAATTTACAACAGTTATTTTTATTTAATATCCCGCTACGACGTGTATCAGTCTCATACTTCAGAGAATACAGCGTAGTGCAATGGCACCTTCATTCCGGTGATACGTATGCTGCATTTTGTCCCTACTAGTAACTGTAAATTGAAATTCAGTAAACGACAACTAAATAAATTTCCAGAAACTTTTTACTGACTTTACGAAACACTACGGATATTTTAAAGTGTTGTGCGGAAAAGGCAGAAAAGGCTTGTACTCGTACAGTCAACTATCTGCACGTTCCCGATGAACGGATGAAGTGATCGGACCAAGAAATGTGTGGTAATGATTTTTGTCTTCAGTAAGACGAAGGGAAACAAAGATGGTATCTTAAGTAACAATTGTTTAATTGACAGTTGATGAACCACTACCACTCTGTGAAAAAAATATTTGCACGATTATTGAGATCACTTTAGAAGTATGACTCGCCGAGTGCCGCAATGCACAACGGAGAGATGGGAAATCGATTGTGCCACTACACTATCATGTCTATGTTGTATCCTGCTCACAAGCTACATTTTGGATCAACCTTGTCGGCGCAGAAAAAAACATCGCAACGTTGCTAGCAACGCAGAGATTTAGTTACGCCTTTGCTAATAACCTTCCCACCGCACTAATAGAAAAATTCAGCTGAGCTCATTAACCAAGATCTCACCAATACAAAAAGAACTCCCAATGCAGCGTGAGATTAGCGTTGCCGTGTTTACATTAAACGATTATGTGACCGGGGTCTGGCGCATGTCTAGCGGCGGAAATATATGTCAACATAAGATAAATCAAACCGATAATTGGATAAAAATGACCCAACAATTAGTTAACCCGGCGAAAGCGATAAAACTGTCAGTTTGATAACCCCGAAATCCCTGAATAAACGTAAACACCGACTTCCATCGATATCTCAATGCACAAGCAAACGGGCACCAAATTAGGTCAATTTCCAGAATTTTTAAAATCATGTCTCAAAATCCATGCAGAATAATCAATAAACCAAAAAAGTACTGCAACACAACAAAACAAAAAAAAATTATTCATTTAAATAGTACAAATATGCAGTTAGCAGACATTTTACAAACCGGCCAATATAGTAGAAAATGTCATATTTCCTAAATATAACAACGTAAGAAAGCGATTATCATTGATAAAAAAACAAAATCTTTAATCGTGAAGAACATGTGAATGATTGATTTGCACAAACCAATTAACCTTTCCTAAATCAAGAAGCTTAAAAAATTAGCATTTAAGAATGAAGTAAAATTAATAATCGTAAAAACATCTGGTACTACAATCGTACAACATTATCAAGAAAAAAATTTGCCGGCAAAAAAAACTGCATAAAAACCTGCAATTATTAACCAGAATGAACCAAGCAATGGAAATTTTTTACTTTTCGTTGCGCTTGTTTAGGCGTATCGAAACGAAAGCGCCAGGTTTAAGCCACCTCACTACGCTATCAACAAGGAACTACTGATCACCTCAACAAGCATTGATATTAAGAATTATTCGAGTAAGCAAACCATTTGCTTATTATTACGATTGCTGCAAGCGTAATAATCGTGAAAACGATGAAATAAAAAAAAACAATTACAGAGAAAATCCTCTTACCGGTTTTCGTGAGCGCCGCCCGGTCGCCGAGATACTCCTCCCGTAAATTCCGCAGCCGTTGCTCCGCCCCTTCGCCCTCCTTCCGGCCCCCGGTAACCGGCGGGGGTGGCGGAGACTTAGAGCGCGGCCGGACACGCGAGCGCTCTTTCGCTTTGGACAGCGCGGTGCGGTTGACGGGCGGGGAGCGCGGCCGCCCCGCGGTGGTGGTGCTGGTAGTCTTCTCCGGCGGCAGGGTGGTGGTGCGCGACAGCGGCGCCTTGTAGGAGGCGTAGGCGGAGGAACTGCTGGAGGAGCGGCTGGACACGGAGCCGGTGGAGGATTTCTTGCTCATGATGCGCTGCAGCTGCTTCAAATCCTCGATATCCTTGGTGGACAGGCCGGTGAAGACGAAACGCTGGCCCCCGCCGGGCGTGGGCAGCGGGGCCGAGGCGGGCACGGGCGGCGCAGCGGGATGAGCCACTACATTACACGAGAAATTGATTAGTCTACTTTTAACTGAATTTTTCTTTTAATAAAAATAATGCTTTTTAAAAAAACAACAGGAAATCACTACATAATATGTACAGTACATAATTATGAAAACATTATCAGGATAAATACAAATCAAAGCGCAAACCAAAGTGGTTGAAACTTGAAAGTACTATGTCCGGTTAACAAAGGGGAAAAAATTTATACATCTTTTTAGCATTTAAAAGCTCAGAAACACTCCGAAGTATCAACTTTAAAAAAATGTATAGCTTTTCCTCGCAGAGGCTGCGATTTAAACCTGCATGTGCAAGACCCCTGTCGTTGCCGAACTTCCTCATTACGCCCTTTCACTACGTTATGCTACAAAGAATCAGGGGATGAACAGACGTGGATGAACGAAATTCATTTTAATTTACGAACAATTTTTCGTTAAGTACAATCTACTATAATTCTAAGCCCAATTACGATTTACCGAAGAAAATTTTAAATATACAGTTCACATTCTGGTAAGTGATTTTCGAATCGTTAAAAATGTACTGTATTTACGCATAAAACGCAGAAACAATCACGAATTTTAAGAGATACCCAGATGTTGCGAAAAACAATGTTAATTCTAAAAATTAATTATATATATTAAAACAGCCTCTCTTTTCATTGCTTCAAGTTAATCATCCCCTTTACGACAAAGCAGATGCCCAGTGCAATAACAAAGACCATTTTCCTAATTTATTTATTTATTTATTTTTCGTGCAGGCATATTTATTTATTACATAATTTATTTCCTGGTTTCTCTGAGCGCAAGTCGTAAAATAAGACATTCTTCATCTTCAGACCATGATACGTCAGCACAGGAAGGCATGCCGATACAATACTCGTAAAATAAATTAAATACCGACCGACCTTCTTCGGAGTCGGTAGAAAGATCGGTGTCCGTGAAACTGTCCGCTCCGAAATGCTCCGCCTTTTTCACGGCAACAGTGGCCACCGCTTCCGGTTTGGCGGTCTGCAAAATTCCCAATATTTCATAATTTCATCGCAGCGAAATCCATCATAACAGTATAAAACAAAATACAGTAAATAACGAAAATAAAAAAATCCTGGCTTCAATGAAACGGTCAGCACACTCAAACGTTCGGACAAATTCGTCAACAAAAAATATTTCCAACCGTCACCGATCGCAGGAGCGGTCGATCAATTTTAACAGAAAAGAACGAACAAATCGCCGCGATCCAATTAGTGTCAATATTTCAAATAAAGCGCACAAAAATACCATAAAATTATCTGACAATTAATTCCACCGTAAGCGTCAAAGTAGGAGCAAAATGCATAAAAACATGAGCCGCCGCCAAGTTTTTCCCGGCAGAAAATTCTAATTTAATACTCGAATCATTGGAACTAAATTTTCAAAAATAAAATACCAAAAATACCATAAAATGATCTGCCCACAAAACCACCCGAAACGTCAAAACCGCGGAAAATTTATATATCCAAAAATATTCTATTAAAAATGAGCCGCCGCCCGTTTTTCCCGGCAAAAAATCTGATTGAATAGCGAATCGTTAACACCAATTTTTCGAAAATAAAAAGCCAAAAATACCATAAAATAATGTGGCAATAAAAATCCACTGGAAACGTCAAATCCGTAGGAAAATTCATATATCCAGAAAATTATTTAGTAAAAAACGAGCCGCCGCCCAGTTTTCCCAACCGAAAAAATTCCAATTTAATACGGAATCGTTAACTGCAAAATTTCGCCACTGATCCCGATAAATTCCGCCAAAAATGTTGTAATAATGGCGATAAGAACGGCGCCGCTACCAATCACTGCCGCTCGTAAATATCGAACGCCACGAACTGATAAAACTGGAAATAAGCGTGCCAAAACGGTAGCGTTGTGCTCTGATTGCCGCTCGACCACCGGCGTTACGCACCGCTTGAGTCAAATCATGCTGATGACGAGGGTATCGTTAAAACCAACTGGATATGTGAGTAACACAAAACAATTAAGCACAAAATCCACGCGCGCTCATTACACCGCGTCATTCATCATTTACCGGCTGCTTTTTTAAGCGCTGAGCAACGTTTATTAATTATGCAGGCTATCAGCCAATCATACACTCACCGCGGTGTATCAGACAAGACCACTTAGAATTCACCCAGTTAGGGCCGAAAGAACGCTGTTCAGACCGTTTGCAATTGATGCGTTTATTCCGTCGCAGTTTTCACGCAAATGAAAAAAAAGTCTAAACATTTTTCGCAATTAAATCAACACCGACCGAAATAAAACCATACCAGACTCATATCATTATCCGTTTGAAGCGGAAAAATTTTTTTCATTAATGTTCTACGTTTCTCAATTTTCTTACAGTTTTTACTTTTAAAGAAACCTAATCCTAAAAGTGGAGCACTGATATTAACCGATTTTATTTTGTTTCTCTTCTTTTGTGAATTTATTTCTCATATAGTATTTCCACTAAACGCCACCAATTGCCATGCGATGAAAGAAAGAATCTTCGGAATTTTTTTACCGTAAACAGTTAAACTAATTTCTTATTTTTCTGGCATCATTCAGTTCTAAAACAAAGCTCTGAACCTGCTAAATAGATCAGTAAGAAATTATAAAAATTGTACGTATCAAATTGAGAAGCTGCGTTTCGTCCGCATCTCCAAGTATCGAAAAGGCCAGACGCGAAGATGCCGCTTCACTACGCTTTCCGCATTTAACTAAGGGACTGACACTGGATGTATCTGTCGCAGTACATTAATTCAGAATTTCAGCCAAAAGAACATTGCAATTTCTAACCGGCACGAATTTTTCAGATAAGAAAAACTGGCCCCTTAATCCCGGTCATTTTTCAATTTTATTCACGGCAAAAACATGATGATGCAGTCATGAATCAAATTAGAAAAAACTTCCGAACAAATTAAAATTCGGCGCAAATTCAAATTGTTTTGCCATTACAAAATAAACTGGTAGAGATCTCCTTATATTCCTACGCTAATTTCTTTATCATCGTTATGGCTTTACGGAAGGAAATTTAATGACTAAATTGCTAAATGAAACACAAGGCAACTTAAAAATAGTCATGTCACTCATGTATTATAATTATAGGGATTAAAATTCTAAACAACCATAAACGCTGCACAAATTCAGGCTGTTTTGCTAACAAATATTTATTAACGTGGTTTTTATTATCGCTAGTTTAACGGAGGAAAACTGCTGGCTTAACTGCCAATAAACACCGGACCTGATTAACACCGCCCGCGTTTCCGGGGAAGGCCAGATGGCGCTCCTTCAGCGCCTCCAGATAATCCAGCGCGCTCTGGCGAATCTCGCGCTGCACTTCCTTTCGTCTAGTATCCACCGCCGTTTCCCCTGGCATCTCCGGACGCTGTCCGGTCCCGCTGCCGATGTCCTCACTGCCGGCAGTGGGCGGCAGCACATGCTGACTGCTACGCCGGGAGGGATCGCGGAATGGCTTGGGAGGTGGCGCTAGCACCGCGGTTTTGGCCGGAGGAACGAGCTGTACCGGCTCCGCTTTCGCTGTCTGCTGTTCTGCTTCGCTACGCAATGCCTACAGCCAATCAGTCTCAAATGACTACGAGTACTAACAAACATGTCATCGGTTAATCAAAAATATTCTGTAAATCTTTACATGCAAAATCCCCATCGTGCGAATCTCCTTTATTTTCCAAAACGCCGGAAAACCTTATTTTTGTTTTAGCTTATCGTACGATATCTGCCAGCACGTTTGCCACATCAATCTAATTACAGTACTAAGTAAAAAATTAAGAAAAACAATTATTCGGTGTCCGCCGGTTTTCCTGCCAAGCTGGAGCCTCGCGGAACATCCCACACGTCAGAACGTCGCCCTGATGGATGCACCACGTTCGCTTGGAAACGCGGCTTGTGTTTAGCATGGGATGTGACCTGTGTGGACACGGTAGCTAAATCCCACCTAAAATCCACGTCGGTAACCGCGGGATCTGCTGCCGAACAAGCGGAAAGTAGGAAACGCCAACTGTATTCGTATCTCGAAGGGCGGTACGACTTTGCGGCATTAGCCTTTGAAACGCATGGTCCATGGGGGAAATCGTCCATCAGTAAAGTAAAAGAAATTGGTAAACGGCTCGCAGATCATACCGGCGAACCCCGATCTCACGAGTTTTTTCGTCAACGCCTATCACTGGAGATCCAACGGGGCAACGCCGCTTCCGTACTCGGAACCATGGAAGGGCTAGCTGCGCTAAATGAATTGTTTTTGGTGTGATAACGACCGTTTTTGACTCTCGAATGTACTCATGCTTTGTGAAATAAAAATGAATCAAATTATTCGGTAAATACAGTAGCACCGATGCCCGTGAAAAGACAGGACCTCTGCCATCCTGTGAACACTGATACCAGAGTAGAGTTTCAGTGGAAACAAATTACCGGATGTTCTCAGCCAAGTTCACTATAAGAAATCTATAATGTTATATTTTTTCTCATCCTTGCGGTGAGAGTTAAAATAAAAAAAAACAAAGATAATAAAACTAGAAGGTATTTTTATTTTAATCAAGTACTTTAACAGGTATTTGAATGAATGGTTCAGACTTAGCCGCAATGCCTTTCTGATTGATAGGAATATACGGTAAATTACGTCAGATATAAAAATAAAGCCCGAATTATGAAAAGCAAAATTACTGTCTTATGCCAACAATTTCCGAAATGCTCGTCTGAAGTATTTCAATTCGCAGCTCGCTAGCCACTGCTCTACGTTCAACACCATACCCTGGCAAGCACGACAACGAACACACAAATCCTGCACCACCAAAAAAAGTGTTCCCCGTCTCATGATGACAACAAAAAATGTTCCCCAGAAAAACTTTGACCACAAGTTATGTCGGGTGTGAGTAAATAATAAATTGCCGCAGAACATTGCGCTATGACTGCTGCAAAGGCGGTAAATTAGTTCAGCACTGACCGCATCAGCAAAAAGCCGCGGTGAGCACGACTGGAGATCGTAAAATGCGCACATTATAGGTTAATTGTTGAGAATAAAAACGCCACGAAAAACAACACACAAATCTTCCTGACCCTACGTACAAACCGCAGCGCAGCATCTCTCTCACACACCTGACCTAATACTGCACCTCATAAAAGTCACAAAAAAACCGGCAAATGCAACCGAAGCGTCGCCATTAAATAATCCGATAAGAAATCATCAGTTTTTTTCCGAAAGTAGGAAATATTTTCAAAAGGGCACTATTTAGTTTATGAAATAAATAAATGATTTTTTAGAAGGAAAACAACGAAGCTAATCAAATACAAAACAGCAAAAAAGAATTAAAAGTAAAAAAAATATAAATGATGGATATAAAAAAAAATAAAACAAATCAAATTAAATGATGAAACGAGCGTTTTCACTTACTTTCAGTTGCTGGTCGCTGAGCGCGTTGTTGGGCAGGGTCCGCGAGCGTTTCTGGTTGTGGGCACGCTGCTGCTTCGTGAAGCGCATACTGCGCGGATACATCACCAACACATCATACCACCTGCCGTCAAAGAATCATTTTTATTCTCAAACAATTTAACGAGGAAAGGCAGCAGTTAATTATTGCTTGTTTATAGCAAGTTTTCTTCATACTTAACCATGGGACACATAAAAACGCGCGCCAAGAATTATTAGAAAATGTTTTGAACGAAAATAAACGGATAACTGCTACTAAAAAAAAAGGGAAATTCGGCTTCTGCACTGTACTTTAACTTTAAATTCAGCAGTCTCCATACTAGATAAACGATACCGATCGATTTTAAATAGCCACTACACTACAACTTCTTCTAAATATTTGTTTTCCCTAAACCTAGCCGAAGAATTTCTCTGCCCAGGAAATAAATTTAAAAAAATCAAATTCAGAAAAAAAATAGAAACCCCTGTAAAACAGAAGTAAATAAACGAAATTGGAAAAAATAAAAAACATGGAATGTCGATGTTACCAGCGAATCTCCTCTTTACTGCTGCTCTTGACGAAGTAGTCGTGGTCGGGCGCGCGCAGCAGCAGACTGCACTCGTGCCCGGTCAGTTCGCTGGCGTCCCGCACTTCCGTTACGCGGTGCATATCGATGACAGCCTGTGGCACGGTATCACTCTGCAACATCAACACACAACCGCAAATTATTCAGTAATTTCGCTGACTACTTCCGGAAATCATCGACAAAAAAACCAACCAATAAAACAAGCATTTTAAGTTCTGCTTTTAATAATTCTCACTGCTTCTATTGAAAACTCACGAACTGCCCAACAAATCATTTAATCAAACGCCAGATTTAACTTAAGCGCAATCGTTTTTAACAAAAATAACTTACAAAATTGAACACCTTCCGAAAATATAAATCCACAAATTTTAATAATTCAAGGATTAATTAATCTAAAGTCAAAATTCATGATCTTTACTTTAATATTTTCTAACCATTTAAATTTTTACTTGCGTTTGAATTTAATTTGTTTCTTATTTTCAAACGGTTTTTTTATCTTCGGAAAACGTAAGCCGACACCGAAACGACACAGATCTCACAGGACAGCCTCAAAATATTTATTCTTGTGTACATTGTACAACACCGTAAAAAAAATGTTAATTTATACCTTAATAAATAACGATTTTAAACACAGCAGTTTCAATAGGCACTTACATTATTATCCACGGCGAAGATGAGCTCTCCATCGTCGTAGAGGACGAACCAGCGCTGCTGCCATCTCTGCAACACAGCCGCACAGGTAAAGGTCAGCCGGTACTTGGCCGGCGTCCCAAGTGCTCTCAGCGGATGCCAGCACCGTCACACAGCCCTCCCCAAACACGATTATGCAACCGAGGCCGCATACAAGCGCTGACAAACAGAACTGCCGGTCTCAGCGCAATTCCGCCATTTATACTCTGGCAGTCGTGCCAGCCCAGCACGCTTTGTTGAAAAACAACACCAACAAATTTCGCAGACAGCCATACAAAATGTTGAAGAGAAAAGGCAAAGATGTTTCCGGTCACCATGATTATTTTGCAGTATTTTTTTCACCTCGAAACTATTCAAAAAAATTTTTTCAGGTTTACTAGATGCTTCAGCACGAAAATGTCACCACGGAAAATTTTAAAAACACCCCTTATTACCACCGATGAACATTTACAAAAAATAATATGCGGCGCAAACCAAGAGCAGTGCAATAATTAACACAACAACCAAAAGATGAGCATTTACATTTCATACACAGAAAATAATTCATAACGTGCGTCATTTGTTTTCCTTCTAATAAAACTGATAAACACCGTAAGAAAAGATAAGATAAATCAGAAAACGCATCTTCATCTTAGCGACTCAATATGTAGTAATGCATTCAAAGTGAAAATTTAATACGAGTAACACAGATAAAAAAATCGAAAAGAAAGAAAAAAGTTACGAGTTTACTTTGCTTTTATTATAGGTTTCTTTTCGCTTCTGTGAAATTATCACGCAACGCAGAAAAGAACACGTTAAGCCACCGATCTACAAATTTTCGACATTTTTCATAGCAGGCACAAACACAGAATTTTGTAAGAAAAATGATAATTTTCCTTGAGGCGGCATTTCCAGTGCTCTGGCGAACGAAATACACAAATCTTGATATAAATTTTTTGTGCTGTTATGCATACCGGAAAAAATTGTGTTAAAAATGTCGTAAGAGCCGGCACGCGGAGGTGTAAAACACATCATCGACACCAGACAAGTTGACTAATTTTCCGCTCATTTACCACCGCATTAATCGGCGTGTAATGCCATTCTGCAGGTGCTTTTGTTACATGGGCGATTAAAATGATCATTTTATTAGATGGGCCATGATGCCAAATGAGTGAAATAAAAAAAGCGCACCACGACGAGTGAACGGACAAAAAGCGCGTATCCGCTTGACTGGCACTTCCGAGCGACAGCGCAGCTGCACAACAGCAAGACAGATTGCTGTTTGCGGGTATGTTGCAGGGGAGAAAAAACACAACACAATGCCACCGATACCTCACTTTCTGACACACTGCCCATCCATCAATTACTATTAACACATAAACAAACACCTACGCGCTCTCGTTTATGCACTCCGGGCCACACAGATAAATAGTGCATTAAATTTTTCTTAAAGTTAGGGAAACATACGAGAATATAAGGAAACATAACCATAAAATACATAACAAACAACATTTTCGAAAATCACATCGCTAGCATGTGCTTTATGGTTAGTCTAAAGTCTTCGAAAAAATAACATCTGACAAGGATGTATGCAGTCTGCACGTTACTTTAAATGTCTTACCAAACTTGCACCATTATGTCGAACAAAATGTTTTGGCCGTCGAAATTTCACTGGACTTTGTTATTATCCATAAAAAATTCAGATAACAAATATTCATAATTAATATTAATTTCATACTAGCAACCGCATAATGTCTCACAAATCGGCGCATAATTTTCATCGTATAAAAAAAATAAATCCTAATCTCCGCCGTTTATCTATTCTGTTTTTATTTGGGTTTCTACATCAGAAGCGTTTCGATTGGACAAGAACAGCCCACCTGCCACTATTCTACATAACCCCTGACTTTATGCAGGATTCTGCACCAAAAGCAGTTAATTTTCTTCAGGGATTATTCCCGTCACCCGTTAATAATGCACAGTATTGGCAGCGTTTTGGCAAACGAATCAACAAAATATCACTTTACCGTTTTCGGCCTACAAATATAACTAAAAAAACAAACAAAAATAATTTCTTTAATTTTTCTAAAATTTTAACCCCTTCCAACATTCTCTAAATTATTAGGACGACACAAACAACCGTTTAGCTATTCATTATTTCCCAACAGCAAGCCCAAAAAAAGCGGTCCACTTGAAGTACTCAACATAATAATCAATATTTCACGTACCCGGGTGCGATGCGCGGCATTGTTGCAGTCGTAGTCCACCGGGGCCACAAACAGATATCCACATTTGCAGATCTTCCGGGCCGCCTGCAACCAAAAAAAAAGCCAAAAATTAGTCAACCAAATTCTTTTAAACTGGGTAAATAAATGTCGGTTACAAGGAAACCCGGCAATGTTTTTTCACAGCCCTTATTACCGTCGGCATCTTGTGCGTTGTTAGAATAAAGATAACATAAATCCTAGAAAATTTACGATGGATATATCTGTATAAGTAACTGCAGCACGGTGCAATGAAAAATTTCAAGATAAATTATCAACTTCTCCGAGAAAATTTAGCCACCCCAAACACGCAAACACGTAGATTTTGCAGCGTCATATATGTTCTGAAACTGACCAGTTCCGTGCATCTATCGAGGATGCGCATCGAATTAAATCAAGGCGTTAGTTAGTTCAAGAGAAACTTTCCTACTACGTACTATACGAATACGAAGCATCACTTGTTTATAAATTATTCAGTAATTTCGACCAGCTGTCTGCAACAGCATTTCCTGTTTCGCATCGTAAAAACGCCTACCCAGCCGGGATTGTGTTGACTGTTTTCTTGAATAACACGTCTCGGTTTCTTTGCAAATGTCAGCCACATAACGAGAATTACACACAGCAACCTAATACAGTAACAGCAAATACTACTTACTGGATTTAAAAATAACACCTGACTGACCAAAATTATGTATCTGCAGTGTATGTAAATTAGTTAATAAACACAAACACATAATTTAAGAAAAAAATTAAAAACTACATACACAGCATGAAATACAGAAGTTTAAATCAACCGGCAACAAAATCACCTAAAAAATTCTAACAACGAAAATTATAAACAAAAAATATTTAAAAACTAACCAAGTTTGCGAGAAACTCATGAAATATTTTTTGAGGTTCGCTAAACTTAAAAATTAAAAAAAACATCAAAATCGAGACGAAAAAACGCCCGCGGAAACGTTCAAAAAATTTCTGACCATTTGTGGTTATTTGCAAAGAACGAAGAAAAATGCATTCTCGGTATGGTAATAACGCGGAGAATGCGGTCGGGCGATCGTGAGGTGTAATGCACACAATACCGGAAACATGATCCGGCGTAATCGGCGATGGAGAAGCAAATACGAATAAATGGACGCTCGCCGAGGCGGCGGTCTCGCGGGCAGCCGCGGCGGTACCGATACAGCCACAGAAGCTGGCGTGGCACGCGCTGACAGTTGACACTGGACTGATTGATCCGGATAAGCACAAACGACAATTTTCCGCTCCGACCTGAACATTCTCGCATGCACGCATACACACACTGCACATTCAATGGGGGAGCAGCGGAAAAATGCAAACAACCATGTATACACCTATCAATAAATATCAAATACGCCAGCAAGCATGCGGCAAAGTCAGCGCCATCCAATATTGACACGCGATGGTTATATGCGAAGTGTACCGCGACCAGCAACAAGTGTCCGCAGCACTCATAACGCAATGCACCCGGCCACGCCCCGACTACACACGGCGGCGCTGTCGTGAGAACACAAATAACCAGCTGGTTTTTTTCGCATCCATACAGAGTACACATGTGTGATCTGGAAAATCCGCAACAGCCAATATTCATGCAAATAACGCCGCTAATAATTATGCCAGAATTACATGCGCTGCCGCACGAAATAAGACACCGGACCAAGTTTATTACTACCCTTGTATTATACATCTCTAGCTGAGAAACACTTTCATTAACAATTACTGGAGAAATGTCTGTGAAAAAAATATTAGGATATTTATTAAGCAAAAAGATTTTATCAGGCAATGCTTAGAAAATGTTTGTTATCACGATAATTATAGCGTTTCGACTTAAGCTTTCGTCCGTTCAGCCACTTCACTACGATTCTACATGAAGCCTGCTACCGTCATTGACGATGAGAAATTCCGCAGATAACAGCAACAGTACCAAGCGCCAGCATTCAGTTGTCTAATTGCGTTAGTTTAAATAGTTTTCACTTAATCAGATAGTAAATAACTGCGGTACGTTCAGGAATATCGGCGGTAGATTTCCGAACAAAAGTTTTATATTTAATAAATCCATAAATCCATGACTGTCTAGCGCTCCAATGTTTTTTGTTCGACCAGACGTGAAGTCCCTTTGGGGTTGTCTGCTCTTGTGCCGTAATAATAATAATATCAATGTACGGTAACTACAATAAGTTTTTAAGCTGCACTGGGTAGTGGACTATGTAATGGCCCAAGTAATAACGGTAGAAAAATAATCGGTGGTCATAGAAATCCTTCAGAAAAACCCTACCTCCCTCTTCAATATAAAACCGAATTAATTCCCTAAATAAATTTAAAATACAGCTATACCATTAAAAACAAATACGAAACAACTTGCAAGCGCCGCTTTTAAGGCTTCTTCAACCACCAGGTGCTCTGTCTAGACTGATTATTAACTAAATAAGTTAAATAAACATCCAGAATAAATTAACGGTTTATTTTACAAATTAAACTAACAATCGACAACAATATGAAGAAGTCGAAAAGTAAAAAATATAGTAGTAACGATCTTCGGATAGCCAGTTAATTATTGCACATTTAACGCCCCCTTTTCTCCGCCAGTCACCGCCCCCCTGCCGGGGCTATTAATTAATAAGGCCCCCTCCGCCGCATCCGTCGCTCTGATCAATCGATCAACTGTATAAAATCATAAAGTGCGTTCTTTTATTGTGCAGATAACTCACCCTGTTCTCGGCCAGCGCCTCGGCTGAATGCGCCGTCTTACTGCGAAAGCATTCTTGGCATTTGTTGGGCGTGAAGACGTTCGGACAGAAGCGGCGGCAGTTGCTGCTCTTGCTCTGCTGTGTTGTGGCCGGTGATGAGCGAGCCGTGGCAGTGGTGGTGCTGGTAATCATCTGGTTGTGAATGTTAAGGGATGCCGCGGAGAGTTCGTTGGCATGCTCATCACTGCCACTGCGCGATTGTGCCGCGGCATGATGATGATGCGGCTGCGAGTGCCTGGAGGCCAGCGAGTGGCCATGTGCTAATGCGGCGGCTGACGATGCCATCGCGATGGAGGACGCTGATCAAGACAACAACATGTGCACACCCGGGATTTCAACGCATTCCACAAGTATAGCTGTGTAGGGATGTTTTTACTGCCGGTGGTCGGATTCAAACGCCCACCTAAACGCACCAAAAAAATCCAGAAAAAAAAGACGAAAATTCGGAAAATAAATTTAAGATGCAGTTTTTTTTCTTAATGATTATCCGGGCTTCGGTTTTAAAGGAAAACAATTCGAGCGACACATTCCACAAGTGTGGGCTAATTTTAACAGTTTCAGAAGGATCCCAACGCCCACCTTACAGCGTCAACAAATAAGAAAAAAATTAAATGACAGGAAAAGATCGAAACATTTACTGATAAAAGTCGTGCAGACCCGAGAATAAACCATACTGTTGCTTTTTATCATTATTAATTGTGGCTGAAAATTCGAGAAAAAATATACCGCCCGAGGATGCGAAACAATTTATCGCACAATATTACAAAATAAATAATTTACTAATAAAAAATCCGTGGGGGAGAAGTCGTTCAAACCAGATATAAACGGAATAATTATTGGGGAATAAAAATTGTTATTTACAATTTTACCCCCATCAGCCAACATTTTTTTCACGTAAAAATAAAACAAATAAATTCTCGGGAAACTTCCGCTCTGCACGGTATTTTGGCGTGAAGAATTTTAACTATGTCAAAATTTCCAAATAAAAAATAAAGATAAAAACTTAAATAAAAAACTGGGGACCTCCAGTCCGAATTCAGGAGACCGCCAACGAAAGCGATCAAAACGAAACCGTTTCACGTATTTACCTCTCCTTTTACCATTTCCAACAACGTATAAATATGAATTTTTTTTACCTTTTGATAAATATATCCCTCTAAGTCTAGTCCAAGTCCAACAAACACATCCGCAGGATTTACATTTCACGGTGATATGCAAGAAGGATGACGATCCAAGATAAACAAGCACACTGCAAAACCAAACATCGAAAACACGCAAACAGCAGATTTCGCCCGTGGAAACGATACACAAGAGATAACGGCGGAAAAGTATCGTTTACGCGTTGTTTAATCCGTCAAATTTGTGTCTGGCCTCGGTTGGTTAAGTTAGTAAACCGGCTTTGAAGGCTTTTGACGGCACAAATGATAAATCACAGAAATTTTTATGATTTTCCACGACTCATACAGGCGGTTTCACTGAAATGCGAGACGGAGCGAGAGAGAGCACACAAATCGTAAAATGCTGGCCTGTCGTAAAGACGTAAACAGCAACCCAGCCCAGAGTCGAAGTACGACTCGGGATCGAAAGCGACTGGCATTCCGACTCACCGTAGTGAGATATGTTTGGCAGCTTTTGACTTCCATCTGGCAGGCTTATCTCAACATGATCGAATATGAATGGAAAAATTGCAACCTAATAAAACCACTTTCATCTTATAAATTCTTTAAAAAAATAAAGCTATAAAAATTGAACTCGAAATACAGGATTATGAAGAAAACTTCCAAAAACGGTTGTCCCTCCAGAATTTGAGCGACATCGCACCGGAAGTGAGGTTTAAAAAAAGCCAGTCAAACAGCGTCCTCAGGGCGTTCGACATAATATTCTGATTAATCTCCCACGCCATCCGCAACGGTGCGGTAGTTACAGAATAGTACCGCCGCTCCCCGTTTTCTGAGTGAGTCAGAAATTTGACTAATATCCTAAAATGCATCTTTGTTCAGTTTGTTGTGGTGCAGCCCTTTCAAACTTTCATCCAAAATTTCCATACTTATCCTCACAAGTTTTTTTTGTCGTACGATTGGCACACTGACAGACAGTTCACCCGGTATTTGGATTTAATAATTACGATCAGTAGCTTGAGTTACTGGCACGCTATTGAACATGACTGCACCACCACCACTTCCCGAGAAGAAGAAACGCGCCATCCCTCCGTTAAAGCTGCCTGGAGATGCGAAGTACGAACAAACAACATCCACTGCCTCGAGTGCAGTCCAGTTTTAGTCTACGCTTGATGAGCGCTTCTTATCCCTGCTCTTGAAGAAATTCGGCAAGTGGTAAATCGTGTGGTTTTCGTAGGGAGCTGACGACTGCCGTGAGATATGAAAACTTCCCCCCGATGAATCCCATCATCACGCCGCCATCAGGCCGTGCGTCGGATGATGCGAATGCGTTACGCCAGCAGCTGGGAACGGTGCGGATGGCTGATCTGGAGAAGCTGGGGGAGTTGGGGGTGGGCAGTGGGGGTGTGGTGTGGAAGGTCCAGCATCGTCCCACGGGCATCATCATGGCGCGCAAGGTAAGCTCGGCGTTTCTCCGCAATTCGCTGCATTCGTCAAAAGATTAGTAGATATTCGGCGTTATCTGCAGCTATGATTTTTCCTGAAAATTCTCGTGAAAATCCTCATTCTTTCGGATTTCCTAGCATAATTATTGCTGGCGGTTTTGCTGTACAAATTCCTTTGGAACTCCTAAGTTTCGTGTTTTACGTCTTTTCCTACCCAAATATCCAGATAGCGGATTTTTTTCCTGTTTTCGGTTATTGTGTTATTGTCTTGGTGTATTTTTCTTGTCGATTACTTCATTTTATGAATAAGGACGTAGTCGCTGGTTGGAAATAATGTAAAATTTATGTCAAATATCCCTGAGTGTTTAATTTTTTTTTAAAATCAGTTTTATTGCGCTGTGTATTTTTGTTTCGGTCGACCACTCAACTGTAAGGTGTAGTTGGGCTTCGTGTTTTCAGTTTATAATTTCACATTTAACTTTGCAATTTGGTCTGTTTTGGTATCAGATTGTCCATCTGGAAGTGAAGCCGGAAACCCGCAACCAGATCCTGACGGAATTAAAAGTGATGAACGAATGCAGTTGCCCGTTCGTCGTGGGCTTCTACGGGTCGTTCAGCGAGAACCGCGATATCAACATTCTCATGGAGTACATGGTAGGTGACTAGGTGTTCAGTTATGCGCACGCTGTTTGCACATGTGAGCATTTCCTGCGAAGGATCAACATATAAATTTTATGCGGCTGTTTGTTGTCGCTGTGTAAATAAATAACACAATAAAAAGAGTTTGAATTTATCCTTATCTTGGAATTGGTTTTATTCCCGCAGCTCCTTCCACTGGAGCGTTATCGGATTAATTGTTTTATGTTCGAAAACATTAAAATACTTAGCTGTCGTAGGACGGCGGCTCATTGGATCGGATCGTCTCCCAGGGCATTCGCATCCCGGAAACCATTCTGGGCAAAATCACCGTGGCCGTTCTGCAGGGATTGACGTACCTTAAAGAGCAACTCAACATTCTTCACCGCGGTGAGAATTTTTTTCAGTACTTATTCGGCACACAGAATTAATTGTCTTTGTGTTCGTCAAAAATAAATCTTGTGGAGACTCAATGCAGTGAACAAATCATTGCTGTATATATTTTCAAGTTGCTAATATTACGTTTTACACTGGCCGAATTTATTGGTTAATTCGTTTTGATTTAAATTTCGGCTGGCAGTTTAATATTAATTTGTAAATTCGTTAATTATTGCTTATTTATTGGTTGCTTTTTTTATAATCGTTCTGTAGATATCAAGCCGTCGAACATCCTAGTGAATTCGCGCGGCGAAGTGAAGTTGTGTGATTTCGGGGTGAGCGGGACGCTGATCAACTCCATGGCCAACTCCTTCGTCGGCAGCCGGTCCTACATGTCGCCGGAGCGCATCGTCGGCCTGCCCTACACCATCACCTCCGACCTGTGGTCACTGGGTCTGTCCCTCATGGAACTGGCGCTGGGACGCTATCCCATTCCCTTCCCGTCGCAGGATGAATTCCGGACTGCGTTCCAGTCGGGCGACGCCGCAGCCGGTAAGTCTCAATGCACTGGAATTTTCCGGAATTTTTTCTACAAAGCTATGACATATTGACTGCATCAGTGTTGCTAATTGTTGGGTTTTGTTTAAAAGTACTTTCTTTTCTACAGTAATAATACAGACCGTCAATCGAATAAATTTTCGAATAATATGCAAAACCGGTTTTTTTATTTGTTTTCAGAGCCCATACAGGTGATTCCCGATTTTGCCTTGCTGGCGTACATTGTCGATTCTCCCGCGCCCACTTTCCCGGAAGGAATCGTGTCGCAGGAGTTTAAGGACTTCATCGATCGCTGGTAATTGTATTTAAATTCTGAGTTTGTTTTGAGATGTCTTTATGGAAAGCCGATTCACATTGTTGCGCACTGCGAGATTACGTAAACTTTTGTGTAAAAATGAAGCATTTAACCGCTGATTACGAACAACTGCTGGAACTATTACATCATGGAATTTTAAATGTTTTATTAGCTTGGAAAAAGACCCGCTCGTGCGGCCGGACCTGAGCGCCATGATGCAGCATCCGTTTATTGTTCGCAGTCAGCAAGAATCCACGGATCTGGCGGAATGGGTGTGCCGGGTGAAAAATCTGAAGAGAGGGGAATTTTCCTAGATTATTTCCTGATTAAAATAATCCTATCCATAGCTGGTCTTTCATTCCAGTGCCTTCGTTATATATATAATATCCCATGCGCTGGTATGTACGAGAAGTTTTTTTAATCGTTTGATACCTTGTCCAGGTTTTTTTTATTTTTTATTTACGAGAAGTCTTGTTCTGACCAGTACTCTCATGTCTGCCGTTGTTGTTGATAGTTTGCGTTTTACGTAATTTCGATAAACCTTACAATCATCATGTCTGAAGAATCTAGTGAATACATGCTATTACAGTGCAACTGCCTTTAATTACGCTAGCAGTACGACTTCATCCAGGGTCAAGCACATTATTACTATACGGTACCCAACAGGGTTGTTGCGAACATCAGTAAAAAAAGTCACTAACCACGCGGACTTTCCGGCTTTGAGCGATTTAGAGTCCTCGCCGAATGGTAAGTTATAAGTGCCGGCTATAGCTGCGATCTATGGTGAGCATTATTCCGTTAGAATTATTCATCAGTGGCCATAGCGTTTATCGTCGTAAGATGCAATCCGTTAATTTCGGCAACAGTCCAAGTATTTTTCTGTTTTATTGGCACATACCGGGTAGTATTGCGGCCACAGTGTTTCACCACATACGGTAAATCTCCACCACAGACTCCGAGTTGGCCAGATTCCATTCGAAATCAGGTTGCATCTCCATCGCGTTTCTTTCACGGACTTGTTTTTGATAGACACCGGGCAGCTGTCCGAGGATTAGGAAATAACTGGATACTCTCTTCTGGAAGACTAGCTAGGCAAGAACGCCAGATTTTAACAATTTTTGCTTGCAGGCTACTGCAGCTATGATCAGCTGTGTATCTGTTATCCGGAATTCAAGATTTTGTGCACAGCGGCATTGTTCGACAGGTGATGGATGGTTCAGTAGTCTTAGATCTTCGCTGACAGTGACGACCGCCTGAAACTCATTATCATGGTTTACCTCAACCGTAGTAATTACCTGAGTTTGTAATTACCGTAGTATTTTCTTGCGTTGCTTTCAATTCGGATACCTGACGTCCTTCCGGTTGCCGTGCGCCACTGTTTCTTTTCGCCTTGTCAGAGGCACATGACTGCGCCTGGTGCATACGGCCCACCACGGACGTACTTGCACCCATGCTTGCCATATCGCCTCTCTCGCTGTACGTACGTGTGCTGCTGCACTGCACTCATATCCGCTGAAGCGGATATATGCGGCGCACACACTGAGCATACTTGCTCTCTTGTCCCTCTCTCGCTGTATGACTCAGCGTACGCTCGCGTTGGATTGAGTCCAGTCTGCGCATCATCACACAGCTGATGGCACACAGCACGTGCTTGCCGCCAGTTGCTTCTTTCACGCCTTGACGAACGCTCAAGAGCTCTTTCTAGCATTCACTTGCTTGTTTAGCCATCAGTGCTTTGTTTTGCTTTCCCTGCTATTACGCAGCATTGTTCCCTTTATTTGTCAATAAAGCACACTCGTGATCTCCTCGCGCTTGCCTGTTACATGGTAAGCAGAATCGTTTGGTTTTCTTTCAACGGACCCTTTGAGGAGACGGTGAAGGCTCAATTCACGGAGAAATTGTGAGGAACCTGAAAGTCACTGTCAGATAGATTGCTGAAGCAATCTCTGCCCTTGACTTTGATCGGATTGATCGCATCGTCTTACAGCTGAGGAAAACGGGGATCACTGAAGTGATTCCTACCCAGCTGGTGAGCACAGTTCCTTGGTCTCTTCCACATTGAAGAGCGGAATCTCATTTCCCAACAGCACGGACTTTTCTTCTCCCAACTGACGGATCAGACTCGAACGAGAGTCTGCAGCGCGATAGGATTACTCCAATCATACGGGGACCTTCGCTTTGAACAGCGACCCGCAACTTTACTCGCGGATTTCAGCTCGGAAACGACGGATTTCCGACCTCGGACGGAGGAAATCGACCGGAACCGACACCGACACCGACACTGGTAAAGTCACGGTTATAGGTCGATTTTAGCCGAAACTAGGTCGGCATTTCACTTTCTAGCGGTAGAAAACTATTTCTAGCCGTATATCTGAACTTTTTAACGGTTAAAAAGTAATTTTCGACGGAGAAACCGACTCGGAATTTTGCTTTTGGTCGAGAACCGACCTGCTAGGTCAACGAACCTGTCTAGACAGTCAGACAAAGGCTAACCGGCAACAGGTCGGAAATTCTCTTCATTTTGACTTCTAACGGTGTTTCGACCACCAGAAAATCTTCTTAATTAACAAAACTAATTTCTAACGGTTAAAAATTTCAAAATCCGACTAGATAAACTTTCTAGCCGACCTAAAATAATTTGTTTTTCTCGCGGGAAATAGCGCGAAAATTCTCGAACTTCCTTGTGACGTCATAACGACCGCTTATCAGTACTTAAGAGGCAGCCAATCAGCGTGCAGGGGAAAGTTCCCATAGCTTAACATAGGCGTGATTCATCGTTTTTTATAAATTTTGCACGCGGCTCGCATTCTGTGACGTAGGCAGAAGTGCAAGACCACTTAACCTGTTACGTCACATTGGTCAGCACAGTAATATAGGACGTACTACACTGTACTACTATTACGTACTGTACTGTACCATAGTACTGTATACTAATACCCTGTGTACTGAGTCACCAACAGACACATCAACAACAACAACAACATCTCACCGGACGATCCTGACCCTTGGAAGTTCCTGAACAAAAAGACATTTTCTGATTTTACCGAACATCTTCACACAGAAGATTGTTCGACTTTCTCTTTCTAACTGATTAAACTTTAAAGGCTCCACCAGAGCCGACCTGACTCGACAACAATGTCGAATCCCCGAGAAGATCAGTACGCGAGAAAGTTCAACACGGACTATTCTCGGCGCGCGAACATGACCGGGAAGTACTCACTCCGGTACGCCGGTCAAGATAAAAGTCAGCCGTCCTCAACCGACTCGACTAAGTCGGTCGAAGCAAGGGAGAAGCGCAACGAGCGGATCCTCCTTGCCGACTCGAATCCGACTTCGGATGACAGTTTCGAGGACGCCCGGGATAAAACATTTCTGGAAGCCCCAGCTGACACAGTAGCCCCGTCCCACCCGACCAAGGGGGAAGCGGAACAGCCGCAAGCTGAGACCACATTGTCTCATACCGACTTGGAGTCGAGCTCACACAGAGCTCAGGGCTCGGTAGTCACAAAGACAACCGAGCTCGGACGGCATTCACCCAACAGGACGGAAGAGGTGCCGAAGCCGACTTCGCCCAACATGGACGTTCCGACTAACCAAGTCGGAAGGAAATCGCCGACCACACAGGCCGAGCGAAAATCTCCGACTAAGCAAGTCGGTGAACAACAACCTACAGCGGCCGACCAACAAATGGTCGACAAGCCGCCGGCAAAAGAAGTCGGTCAACAGCAGGCCGACCTGCCACAAACTCAAGGGGCCGAACAACCGACTTCGACCGGAATGGATAAGCCGACAACAGAAGGCGGCAATGTCCAACCGACCACACAGGTCGGAAGGATTTCACCGACCTCGAAAGTCGGAGAAAAGGAAGTCGGCAACAAGCAACCGACTTCCCTGGAATGGCAACCAACCGACACAAAGTCGGATGCGGCCGTCCAGCCGACTAAAATACCAACCAGAACGGAAGATTCCGAGGTACCGCCACGAAGCGGCCCTCGCCCAGCTGGATCGCCGACCAGCATACCAGCACCCAATGAAAGGGTTATTTCACCGTTGAGCCGACCTTCGCCAACCGGAAGCGAGTCGACTCGAGTAACCGAAGCTCAACAAACGGCGAAGCCGACCAAGGCGACACAAAGTCGACCAGTCGACCTGAAGATCCGACCATCACCGTTAATGTTCGAACCTGGCGAACTTGGTAGTGAAAGAACCCCGACACCGAACGACGAAGTCTTTGACACAACAAAGGTGTCAAGACCGAACAGTGCGGACGGATTCTTCACAACACCGGTGAAGTCCAACCAGGACGACCTCACCTACCAGGCCAGTACACTCGAATATACGGCCGAGAAGTGGATAGCGGCAACACCGCCCGAAAGGATCGTAGACGTCGACCTACTCCGCTCGAGATGCCGTAGATTGATCACTCAGATCGCCGTGGCAGACAGAATTATCGACTCGGCGGGAAAATCGCTCCGAAACTCGGAAGATACCCATCGGCTCGAACGAAGCAAATGGGAACGCGAAATGGCCGACGCCAACAAAGGCATCGCCATCCAACAACGGGAGATCGATCGGCTCAATGCCATACTGAAGCGTACCGACCAACCGTGTCGGCATGACATCGACGAAGCTACTACACTCAAGGGCATGTTGGATCGATCCATGGATGCGGTTCACGAGCTGAACCGAGAACTCGCCGAAGCGAACAAAGCGCTCGAAGAAGCCCAAAAAGACCTGGCCGATGTGCAGACCGCACTGGTCGAGTCGGAGCAGGCAGCTGGAGCGTTCCACCAGCAACTCAACACGGCCAACGAAGAGGCCGAGGTCTATCGAAACGAAGTCGATAGATATGTGGTGGAACTGAAGAAGGCCGACGACGAAATCGACCGCCTAACACACAGAGTCGACGAGCTCGAGTCGGAAATTGAACTCGTCTTCACCAGAATGGGACGACGGTTCATCGACGAGAACGCTCGGGACATGGGCTTTCCTAACCAAAGGACAGCCGATGTCGACCTGGTGGAAGCAAACGCCCAGCTGGCTGACCAGGTCCATGGACTGAACCAAGTCCTTAAGGAGGAACAGAAACTCCGAGCTCAACTCGAGTACAACTTGAACGAGGCCCAAAAGGTAAACGAGGCGCAACACAGTCGCATCCTTTACCTGGAGGCCCGTGAAGTCGAACTGTACGACTTCGGCGAACAGGCTGCCCGCAACCTCACAGACATGATGCGGCAAATGGACGAAATGGACATCGAAACAAGATGTCTGAGGGAAGAAAAGAAACACCTGGAACAAAGCCAGGTCGAACTTCCCCCATACCAAGAGCATAGTCGGGTTGAACCTCCCTCATACCGGACGTCCATGGCACAGGATCAACAGCCGTCACGAACAATCAGTGACATCCTGTGGGGAATTAACCCGACCCAGGAAATGGTGAAGAAGGAGAACAACACCTCCTACTTCGTCGGAGTCGTAACAACCGACCCGAGTGTGGGAACAATCCCACAACCACCAGCAGTACCGAGTGCTCCGGAACCGGAACACAATACGTCGACTGCGGCACCACGAGTGCCAACGACGAACGTGGCGAC